TGGAGGAGGAGGGATTCCAGAGACTGGTGGTGGTGGAGGAGGAGGGATTCCAGAGACTGGTGGTGGTGGAGGAAAGGAGATTCCAGAGACTGGTGGTGGCAGTGGAAGAGGAATTTCAGGTGAAGAATTAGTGATTTTACTGGAAGATGTTGAGATAGTAGTGGCAACAAACAAAGGCAAGGAAATTCCAACAGTAATTGGCTCAAAGTCTGTCTGAACTTCAACAGAAATATCTTCCATTAATCTTTCAGTTTGTGCTTCAGTTGTTATTAATTCTGATTTTTCAGCATTTGTCTGTATTGATACTGATTCAGAAATACATGTCTGCCTTTCTGTCTGAGTGGAAAGAGTATTCAGTGATGGCATATCAGTCTGAACTAATGAAGACGTGAAAGTTAATCCTTCTCCATTGAGATCTCTTGCCTGACGGGTCAACTCTTGAATACCAGCAAGAGTCTGATATTTCTCCACTTCTTGTCGAAGTTTTGCAATTTTGAACTCATAGTCAATAATTATATTTTCTTGCAATCCACAATTTTCTTCTTTCTGATAACAAATATAACTAATTCTATCAAGCATGACATTGAGAATTTATAAATATAATTTTGACAACCACAAAGTAAGTGGGTATGTATTATTCATACAAAATTGACTTTTATAAATTTTCTCATATGACAGGTTTGTGTATTTATTAGTAATGCATGTGTAATATTACTTTACAATGAGACTGAAAAAACCTATCACACACACATCATTATTTACTCTCATTATTGTTTCAAGTAAGTGTGTTTGTACACGGTTAGAAGCCAAATAACTGAAAATTACAAGACCAATTTTAATAAAATTTGGTACATAGTTATATGACATATCTTTAGAAACCACAAGGTCAGTTTTCATAATATTTGATACATGGTTAGATTACATATGTTTAGAAACTATATAACCAATTTTAATATTATAATTGGTACATTGGTACATGGCTATATGACATGTTTAAAAACTACAAGATCAGTTTTCATATTTGGTAGATGGTGAGATGAAATATGTTTAGAAACTATACAATCAGTTTTAATAACATTTGATACACAGTTACAGGCCATATGTTTAGAAATTAAAAGAACAGTTTTAATAGTGTTTGTTACGTGGCTAGAGGCCACGTCTGGAAATGACAGAACAAGTTTTTAATAACATTTAGCACAAGGTTAGAAGCCAGATGTTTAGAAACTACAAGGATAGTTTTAATATGTTATATGGTTAATGGATACACTTAATAACTTTATTTGCAATTTACAAGTAAAGGTTGAAGGATGCTAAATATCTGAAGTACATATAAACTGATAACATACAACACAGAGACCACTATGTACTTATGTCTTAAATATTATTTAATATGATGCAACACTCTACAAAGGGTACAAAAGTGCTATATTGTTTTAATTATTTGAAAGACACCACCTGAACTGGTAAAGAAATGTAAAAATAATTTCTTTTTTAGAATCACTTTAAATTTTCCCTTAATACATTGTGTTCTGTCATCAGTTAAATAATAATCTCATTTTCTTAAAACCTTACCTGTAACTTTTGTAAGTCATCTTTATTTCCTGACTTTAAACCCATGCTTATATGTTGAAAATCTGCCAAAAAATAACCACCATACTTCAAATTGTATTTTTCTTTAATGCATACAATTAAAGAAAATGCACTTATGAACTGATTCTTATTTGTTTTAGTTATCATTTTAACAGAAGTTTTCACTTCCTTCTTAATAATATTTAAATTTATATACTATTACAACTAAAAACACTCACCTTCAACAATGAAAAAACTCACTCAGGTTTTTATTTCTACATTCACTATTCATTGAGCAAGCTTTCAATTCCTCTACTGATATCAGCTGGAAGAGGAGATTTTAAAGCTTACTCAATAAATACTAAGATGAGATTATTTTCTTTTATCATTAACTTATTCATGTTACGAATTCAAAAGAGAATATTACAATCCTGAACATAAAGGTATGAACTAGACAAGGTTATTTTTTCTATCCTTAATTTATCATCATTACGAACTTAAAACAGAATAAGGGTAGAAACTAGACTAAATTACCTTTTTCTATTATATATTTACCCACATTATAATTTAAACAGAATACACAATACAATACTGAGCACAGAAACAGATATGAGAACAAGTTACTTTTATGAAAGTGACATTGCCTAAATATGTGTTGTTGTATTGTTTAAAACTGCCAAAAAAGCACTGTGAAAGTTATGTGATATAAAAGAAATGTAGGAGAGAATCATTAACATAGATAGACCTCTTTGGCTTTTTTAAATACATTTTCCTATCTAAACTATTTATTCATCAAACTACTTGTGGTTCCATGCTTTAATTGTTACAGAATTCCTAATAATATATGAATCACATAAAAAGTGTAAACAAAAGTACCATCAATATTATAATTAATTCCTCTAATTACTTATAGGTCTGAGGTATATCTTACACAGAAATAAATGATTTCACCCAATTATTGTTGATCAGTTATTGCACTGATTGTTGTAACAGATAAAAACAGTTAATGAATATGATGCAATATGTAGACCTCACCAGTAGCAAAGAGTATATATAAAAAAAAGTCAACAATTTGAAAGTTAACCTGTGTTTCTCCATTTTATGAATCAATTTTGCCCTAAAACATGTTTGGGTGTATTAAACTGAAACACTTACCTTCATTTATCTCTTCTAAGAAGGCATAAGACAAACATTTATATATCAATAACAATGCAACATATTATACACAATAACTGCAGAGTACAGTATAGCGTGTAAAAAGTATTTAGATGTCAATAACAATGCAATATGTTATAAACAATAATTGCAGGGTTAGTATAGTGTGTAAAAAACATTTAAATGTTAATAACACTGCAACATATTATACATTATAACTTCAGAGTACAGTATAGTGTGTAAAAGATATTCAAATATCAAAAACACAATATATTAATAGAATAACACTGATATTGTATAAGTAATGTACAGTGTAAAATACTATCATCCATAAAAAATATCAAATGAATATTAAGAACTTCAGAACATGATCATTTTATGCAAAACTTTATTGCTTTCTTGCATAAAACTGGAGTTAAGGCTTTAAAATCCAAGTGATTCCTGGGTGTAAAGTTAGTTTTAGTTATGTAGAGTTATAGATCATAGCTTTTAAGATGTCCCTCAGGAGCCAAGGGGTGTCTTTACACTACAATATGCTGAATATTAAAAGTAAGTTCAATCTGGAAATTCCCAAATGTGGTGGTTTTGGACATATCTTTTTGAGACAAGTTTTCATTTGTTAATTGATAAATATTTAAGTGAAATACAGCATCCTCAAGTTTCCATACAAGCTAGTACTAAGGACTGCCCACTGTGAGTAAATTTTGTATATTTCAACAAAGCCACATTCTCAGCATTATTAATCAAGCAATTGCCAACCTTTTATGCTTCTGGTATCACCTTTTTATGTTTAGTTTTCAACTAAGATACGAACGACTTCACCTGGGAAGGTTGAAGCATCAAGATAGTCAGCAGTAGGATGAGTAGACAGGAACACTTCGAAAGCAGCTACAAACATAATATTGTACTTGGCTTACTGCACAGTATCTACCAAGGTGGTTCTAAGCAGTTCCTCAATACCTCTACTTGTCATTTTTCAAGCTTCTTGTGTTTGGCCATTAAGTTTTTGATGCACCAACAGATTTCAGTCACCTTACCACTTAAAATAACTTTTCGCAGCCCCGATGCTAAAAGAGTGAGGGAACTACCTTCTTTTTAGCCAATAAAAATGTCCAAAAAATTTCAGTTCAAATTAAGAAAAACCAGATTGGATAGTTATTTTTTTTTTCAACAAAAATGTCCCACACTAGCTCGTAAGGAGTCTGTTAAATCTGTGCGATTTCTAGTTGGCATTAGTTTTGTTGAGTTAAAGATGATAGATTTTAAATCCATGATTTCTGGGTGTAAAGTTCGCTTTAGTTATACAGAGTTAAAAATCATAGATTTTAAATCTGTGTGATTCCTTGATGTAAAGTTGGTTTTAGTCACGTAGAGTTAAAAATCATAGCTTTAAATGTGTGTGTGATTTCTGGGTGTAAAGTTGGCTTTAGTTTTGTGTTATTCTAGAGTATAACAAACATCACAGTTTTGTAATAAGCAAGATTCTGAGATATAAAGATGTTTTAAGTTTTCTTAAGATGAAGAATTGGTATGAAGCACAAGTTATTTTCTAAAAAAAAGCATCACATCCTTTTGATGAGAGTGGGGGGGGGAATAATTTTAAGTCTCAGAAGATAACAACTTAAACATTATTGAGTTTAGTCTTTGGGAAGGACTGGAGGGTAGTAATGCAGGTAACTATATCAGTTGAATGTTAATTTGCAATGCAATTAAGGCATTATTAAATTTAATTATAAAGTCTGAACCTTCTGATTTATAAAAAATCCAAAACAGTTTCCAGGTTTTAGATCTCAATAGATTTGGCAGAACTTACAGACTGGTAAAGATTCTTAAAATATTGTATAATCTACTAATTGTATGTTGGTATTATCTGATTTGATATCCCCTTTAACCCTATGACAACAACACCAATTTTAAACTCCTTTCTGCACATTTCACTGAGTTACATTCAAAATTTAATTAAACTACTTTACTATTAATGTATTCTAATGAAATTATTATTGTCTAGTACATTATAGTTCAAAGTTTAATATTTTCTCAGTTTTTATTTCTTTATTTCAAAAGAAACATTAAAAACAATAATGATACCTCGCAAGGTTTATGTCACATTATGCACAAGCTATAAACAATGTAGATATTTGGCAAAGTATAGCTTGAAACATAACATGATAGTCAAGTAAATGCAAGTCTAGAAGAGAATGTAGCTTACCTGCCCTTTTGACACGTATGGTTCAAAGTACTTTGCTGAATGCAGTTGAAACAAGAAATAAATTCTGTCAACCCCTGACAGGTGCCACACCCACCTTCTATAGTTTAATGCTGAGTTTTAGAAGTTACAAGTTTAGAATTCAGCAGCATACAAATTTTGGTTTCAGATAGAACTAACTGAATCATTTAGACAAAAAGTTTCACAAATTGGTATTTAAATCATTATTACGTACATACTTAATTCAAGTCTTATGCATAAAAAATGTTAAAACTTTAGAAGAGTGAGGGAACGCACAGTATAATTTCAGGTGGGGTCGCATATATGGGGCTACTCAAAATTCCTTATAAATAAAGACCCAAAAAGTAGTAGATTGTAGTAGGTAAGAGTAAATTCCAGATAGAATATACTTGGATACTGAAAAAAAACTACAGAAAATAATAAAAACCCTATAACCTGAGCACTTTTAAAAGGTGGACCTGAAGAAGAAAGGTCCACCCTTCGAAAGTGCTTGGGTTATAGGTTCTTTATTCATTTCTATTAGGACTTCTTGAACCTACGTATTTTTCTAACATCATGAAAAAACTATTGATATGCATTTGGGACATTCTAGAGACAATATGAAAACTGTACAATGGACAAAAGTATTTGTTCTTCACATGAATATCACCATGCACACACACTTCTCAATTCACAGACATATCATGAGTACAAATACTTTTGTAACATCTGATTTTTTGTGCACAACAGACTTGTACATTTTACTAAAAGCTTGCCACATTACATGTAGATACACACAATAAAAAATAGAACTGAGTGACATGACATTTCTATGAGTTGCTTCTGTTTTATTTTCCTGTAAATATTGTTAATCTAGTGTAATTGTTTTTTTTATATATTTAATATATAGAAAGTTAAGAGAAGTTCTGGTTAAACATATAACCTTACCAATGGATGAAATCTTTGATCTTTGTTCTGTAGTTTCTGCAGGAAAAGGTGGCCACAAATTTGTTGACAGCCGTCCTGGAGAAGGAGTATTTGCTGTCTGGGCCTCAAGGTACGTCCAATAATACATCAAATCAGGCTACAATCAGAAAACAGGAAATACAACATTTAGCATCCATTTTACTAAAAACAAAAATTAGGAATAATGACAAAACATCTTAATATACTCTACACCTGTAGTGTATATTTACATTCAAATACACAAACTACCAAACATTCTAAACTATTTCACACTTATAGTTTATACCTATAATCAGCAGGTATACAAACTACCAAACATTCTAAACTATTTCACACTTATAGTTTATACCTATAATCAGCCGGTATACAAACTACCAAACATTCTAAACTATTCTACACCTGTAGTTTATACCTATAATCAGCAGGTATACAAACTACCAAACATTCTAAACTATTTCACACTTATAGTTTATACCTATAATCAGCCGGTATACAAACTACCAAACATTCTAAACTATTCTACACCTGTAGTTTATACCTATAATCAGCAGGTATACAAACTACCAAACATTCTAAACTATTCTACACCTGTAGTTTATACCTATAATCAGCAGGTATACAAACTACCAAAAATCATAAACTATTCTACACCTGTAGTTTATACCTATAATCAGCAGGTATACAAACTACCAAACATTCTAAACTATTTCACACTTATAGTTTATACCTACAATCAGCAGGTATACAAACTACCAAAAATCCTAAACTATTCTACACCTGTAGTTTATACCTATACTCAGCAGGTATACAAACTACCAAAAATCATAAACTATTCTACACCTGTAGTTTATACCTATACTCAGCAAGTAAGAAAAATACCAAAAATCCTAAAATATTCCACACTTGAAGTTTATACCTACAATCAGCAAGTACACAAACTACCAAAAATCCAAAACTATTCTACACCTGTAGTTTATACCTACAATCAGCAAGTACACAAACTACCAAAAATCCACTTGTAGTTTGTATTCACACTCAGTAAGCACACAAACTATCAACATATAAAGTAATACCCCTCTGCAGAGATACCTAAGAGTGTTTAGAGATAGGTTAGGGCAAGATTTCCTTTAACTGGAGAGGCTAGACTAACAATAGTTAATAGTTACATATGTATTTGGGTTAAACCAAATAGATATTAGTTAATAAAATCAAATAACTAGTTAATTGGTATGAAAAATCAACCCAAATATCTAAATATGCAATTCTGAGGCCTCACAATCTACAAATTGTTTCTCATTAGTGTTCAACTCATTGATATGAATATTCATTTTGGGATGCACTATGGAGAAGGTAGTTGGTGCTACTATAGTGTGCCGTCTACACAGATACTATCATGGTCACCATTTTAACTTTCATTTATTTGCAACTGGTGCCACTTATTATAAATAATGCTTTTAAACTAATAAAATACAAAATACCATTACATAACATTTTTGGGGCAAATATAATTGGAATGAAATAAATTCCAACAATCAAAACTTGCACAATTATAACCTAAATTACTTATTAAATTATTATTATTTGCTGAAGAAAAATGTGGATAGATATAAATTATTTAGCAAGAAATTATGTTTTAGTGAATCATTAAAATGGTGATGATGATAGTATCTGGGTAGACTGCATGCTATAGTAACACTGGATAGTTTGTTTTAATGTGCTAAAACATGAAGTTGACTAAGGCTATGAAGGAGAAGTGTGAACCCCACAACATGTATTTATTACTTATTTAGCCACATCATGAGCTTGCAACCACGGCTGGATTAATTTATCAAAATTTAACCCAATAAAAGTAGGAATATATCCAATTTTATCTACACTTCTATTCTCCAAGTTTAAACATCTTCACATGAAGGGGGTGGGGGGGGGGGGTAAGAACTGTATATTAACATTATCCTCAGGCTTCTACAAAGAACAGGACACCTTATAATAAGAACTGCATTTGAAACATTTTTAATGTGGTTTATATTAATCAACAGAAATATCATATATTAAAACATTTTACCTTTGGTTTATATTAATGAACATCACATCTCTAAGTAAAACTACTTCTGTGATTTTTCTACATACTGCTTATGATATATAGGCAGATCAATTGTAATTATATCATAACACATTCTCTGATTATGTACATTACAGGACTGAAGAAAACTTTTTGTATAACATCGCTGTTAGATATACACAACTGTTTCTATTTAGGTATAGCAAGAATGTTAACTTTAGTTATTTTTAGAAGCAACAGTTTATTGCAGGTTTCTTTATGTAACTGTGTACAAATCATATATTGTGTAGTTCCATTGTTGTGAATTGGTGCTTATTGTATTACTGGATCATGTTACTGGAAACTTCCAAGTTTTTCTTGTTTTTTCAATTGAGTATTATTGCATCACATTATCATGTAGTGTGCAGAATGTTCTAGGCACTGTAAGTCTATAAATACACATATAAAATGTAGTTCAAGTAAGACAAAGATAGACAGTTAGTTAGAAAGATAGCTAGAGCTAGACTGTGTGTTTGTGAGTTTAGTCATAAAGAGCATATAGTGGCACTTCTTTTAAAAGTGAAATTATCACAGACTGTGTTGTAACAACAGGGTAGAGAAGAATAATTTGTCTTGTCAATTATGTTCTAAAGTAATTGAACAAATCTGAATGGACTTTGACAAAAAGAGACAATTATTTAAATCTCTGGATACAACCCAACAGTGTAACATAAGTAAAATTATCACCAATTGTTGTAACAAAAGGGGAGATGAATAATTTATCTTGTCAAATATGTTCTAAAGTAATTGAACAAATCTGAGTGGACTTTGACAAAAAGAGACAATTATTTAAATTTCTGGATACAACCCAACAGTGTAACATAAGTAAAATTATCACCAATTGTTGTAAGAATAGAGCAGAGAAGAATAATTTGTCTTGTCATTTGTGTTCTAAAGTAATTGAACAAATCTGAGTGGACATAACCAAACCAGTCTGTATGGACTTTGACAAAAAGAGAATTATTTAAAGCTCTGGATACAACTGTGTAATGAACATTTGTACATACGTTTGACTTGTTTTAATGTATTATTTTAAAACAAGTGGACTGTTTATTGCTTGTTTATTGTTGAAATTTATCATCAACAAATCACAGACACCTACCGTAAAGAATCCTGCCCATCCATATATATATAAAAACCTAACAATCACCTTGAAGTACATCTATCATTAACTCACTCTAAAAAGTACTTCTAGAGGGACATTTTCATCTTCAATCTGACGCAACACTCCAGCAGCTAACAGATGAGTACAAAACTGGGCTCCAAGGATTTTAAGGTCTTGTTTGTTCAGCTTACTATGAAGGTAATGAACATCAGGAAAAGCAGAGCAAAACCAGTTGATCAGCATTTGACCTAAAGGGAGTTAAAGTCAAGAAAATAGATAAAAATTTAACTAATCACCATTTTATTTCAAAACTAATGTGCCTAATTATGATCACAGAAATATAGACAAATATGTTTTAAATGTAAGAGGACTGTCTGAAAATTTCATTGTCCACTTATAAAAAGACTGTTTATAAAATTATAATAAATGTTGAGAAATATAATTAATTAATTAACTGAAACACTGATAAATATTCAGGAGGTGTGATGAACTACATAAACTTTTGTACACATTTCAACTGATTAATATCCACGTGATATATAAAAGTTCTCACATGTTAGGAGCACATGAAAAAATACAATAGTTTTCAAACTGAAGAAAACTACCCACTAAATACATAATATAAAGAAGACAGACATAATCCTCAAAGGTTTCTCACCTGTTATCAATAAATAACTTTTTATAGAAAAAATCCAGATCTCCCTCCAAGTTCAAAAATGATGGTTTACATGAGGTTTAAATGCCTTAACATCTACAGTAAGTATAAAATGCATTCCTAGGCTTCTCCCAAGTGATGCTTAAATATCTTGACACCTACAATAAATATATCTTACTCCCACTTTTGTCCTAGATGAGGTTTAAATGTCTTGACCCCTACAATAAATATACAACATACTCTCATGTTTCTCCTAAGAGAGGTTTAAATATCTTGACACCTACAATAAATATATCTTACTCCCATATTTGTCCTAAGTGAGGTTTAAATATCTTGACACTTACAATAAATATATCTTACTCCCACTTTTGTCCTAGATGAGGTTTAAATGTCTTGACCCCTACAATAAATATACAACATACTCTCATGTTTGTCCTAAGTGAGGTTTAAACCTCACTTAGGAGAAACATGAGAGTATGTTGTATATTTATTGTAGGGGTCAAGACATTTAAACCTCATCTGGGACAAAAGTGGGAGTAAGATATATTTATTGTAGGTGTCAATATATTTAAACCTCACTTAGGACAAAGGTGGGAGTAAGATATATTTATTGTAAGTGTCAAGATACTTAAATATCTTGACACCTACAATAAATATACAACATACTCCAATTTTTTCTCCCAAATGTAGTTTAAGTACCTTTACATCTACAATGAGTATATAATATACTCCCATGTTTCTTCTATATGAGATTTAAATTTCTTGACATCTATAATAAGTTTACAACATATTCCCATTTTTTTCTCCCTGATGAGGTTTAAATGTCTTGACATCTACAGTAATTACATACACAACATACTCCCACGTTTCTCCAAAATGAGGTTTAACTGTTTTGATACCTAAATAACTGTAGAAAACAATCTCCATTATTTACTTCACATAAGAATAAAAGCATAAAACTAAAAATAAGGAAATATTTGTCACAATGGCCTTACTTCAAGTGAGATAATTTTACTTAACACTTATAGCATGATATTAGAGATATGATTTAAATCTATTGAAATAAAGTATTTTTTCACATCATTAATTTTTTTTATACTTAAAAGTACTTACAAAGTAATGTGAGTTAATCCTTACGTAATTACACAGATCAATTGCAAAAGCAGGAAGATTTTTAAACTATGTATAATACTTTAGTTACACAGTAGGCTAAGTTCTTAGGAGACTTAGTACATATACATACAATAATTAAATTACACAATAGACTAAATTCTTAGGAGAATAAGTATGTACAGTTACACAATACAGTAAGTTCTAAAGAGACTTAGGAGTGGCTGAGGTGATGCATAGGATACAAATTTCATTCTATCTTAATATTTATCTAAAAAACTATGTAATTTTCTCTGATGTAAAGCTTTACAAAGCCCAGCACATCCCTCCTACTTACAATACAAAAGACTGGCTCTTAAATCTCACTGCAAAATGCCATCTTTGATAAAATATATAAAGATGAACATTATACTTACAAGAACAAACTATATGCCTAGACACACAAGTGAAATATAGTTACTTAAAAGTAAAGATTCATGGTTTACACATTATACTTACAAGAACAAACTATATGCCTAGACACACAAGTGAAATATAGTTACTTATAAGTAAAGATTCATGGTTTACACTGCCGATTGTATATACACACACACACACTTTCCTTTAGATTCAAAGCATAAAGTAAATTGGTTAATCAGCATGCTTATAACCTGACAAAGATTTAGCATACAACCATAATTCCTAAAATTAATTTAATAAGGACATACCAGTTCTTACCTAAGGTAATAATTCATCACTAATGTTAATCTTTAATGTTATTATATAGTATCTCTTAGTTTTAGCATTATGAGCAGTTATCGATATGAAAGTAAACATGGCAAATTTAAGGATGAAAGTGATATTTCAAGTTTATATTTTTATTCAAATATTTTTATTTTTCATAGAACAAGTTACACATACTTCTATAATTTAAATTTCTCATACCAATGTCAGGTATTTAGAAAACATTATATCTTGTGAATGTCAACAGACAAGCAAGATTTGAACAGTTTGTTTTTACAGGATAACTTGATATTTTAATGTCAGGTATTTAGAAACATTATATCTTGTGAATGTCAACAGACAAGCAAGATTTGAACAGTTTGTTTTTACAGA